TCCAAAGTGGCAAGTTTTCTCTCTTCGTTTGCATTCTAAAAGTATCAAGATTACTTCGTCAGTGAATACTATTTTCTTTTTTCTTTATATTATTTATTCATTCAAAATTACGTTTAAAACCTTCTGCCGTACTGAATCGTACTAGAGGGCTTTCCAAATAAGCTAAATTATTCATTGGCATGTAGATACTAGACCTCTTTATATTGGGAATTAGATAATATATAATTATTGTAGATGTTGAACTTTTAAAGATAAGATTGACACATTTCAGAACATTCTAAATTTTAAGAAATAATAACATAGTAAAATCTAAGTTCGTCCGCAAAAATGTTAGTATCAAAATAGATTCCACAAAATAGTTTTGTACATACTCGTATATCTCTTTATTAATAAAGTTCGACATGGCGGTATTATATTTAATAGCCAATATGTTTGAATTTGGGGAAACATTTTACTTGCGATGAATGATTTATGACAATGGGTTATTGAGTTATTTTTATATCTAGTCGCGTCGCGTTGTTACTTCAGTCAGGGATGTGGCTTGGAGGGATAAAAATCGATGATTAAATAATCGATTATGCACTCTTTAAAATAAATCAATTTGTAAAAAATCGATTAACTAAAAAATAATCGATTTTATCAAACTATTCAAAAATATGCATTTTTTATTATATAAAATTTCATATATAAAATACCATCTCGATAACTAAAACAAAAATTCAGTATTATTGATACTATTTAACATTTTATTGAAATGTATATAAAAAAGGCAGTGGTAGCAGGTATGGCCTGATCCCCCTCGTACTGAAGGGAGGCCCGTGCCCAGCTGTGGGATGTTAAAAAGAGCTGAACACACAATATAAAACAAAACGAAAATGTGTAGTTTGGCTACATTGGTTTAATCCAACAACGCATACTTTATCTTTTTACTTAAAAAAAAGAGAGATTCATTAAAAATCGATTCATTAAAAATCGATTATAAGAAAAAAATCTATTAATATAAAAACCGATTATTTTTTCAGTCTTCAGTCACAAGTCACAATAGACAATAATATATTGGTAAGCAATCAGAGAAGTGCTATACATAGCTTTCACAAGTCCTTTATGAATAAAACGATATCGTCTTCCCAAAATCTACATCGGTCGTTGTTTGTGATTGATTCTGTCCCAAATTTGTAAAGTACACTTGTATAGATTGAAAATATGCAGTGGAACATTGGTTTTATAATACACTAGCAACTCACCCTCGCTTCGCTCGGGTTCGTCAGCCTAGTGAACAACAAAAACAAATCTATCCCACGGAAACCGTAAATTTTTCCGGGACAAAAAGTAACCTATGTGCAATTCCAGTCTATATATAATCTATCTCTGTGCCAAATTTCATCCAGATCTGTTCAGCTGTTCTGGCGTGATTGAGTAACAAGCATTCATCCATCCAAACTATCGCATTTATAATATTAATGGGATGCATCGAAAAAAATGTTTAGTAATTGAACTCTGGTCGGTACTTCAATTAACTCAACGTCGCGTCGCGTCGAAGCAGATCGTGTCCACTACACGTCTTTCCCACTGGGCGTGCGTAAAATATAATCTACATGATGAATTTACTATTACTTTTCAAATTTTAAAGGCATATGCTATGAGATAAAAAATTGTACAGTATATTTTAGGTGGCAAATTAAACTGTTGTCTTTAGTGTCGGCACATTTGTTGTAAGCTTATATTGCTAATATTTTTAGGCGTAAAATTGATTGAAGAGTTCCAACTTTTAATAGTTTAATGCTTGAAAGTAGCACTCATAACTTTCCCAAAATTTGACCTTAAAAAATATTTATGAAAATTTTTTTAAGACGAAAGTTCCTTCTTCATTTGTTACTCATAAAATATCTTTGTGCTCTATTTTGTGACATTAAACGTGTACCGAAAAGTTCACATTTTGACATTTTTCTCACAGAATGCATGAGGTTTTAATGGCGTATTTAGTAGGACGCTTATTTAAAATTATAACTTTTTGGCAATATTCTACAGGATCCGTAAATAAATTTATATCAATATACCAACAGTAGTAGTATCCTATTTATACTTAATATATAAAGCCGAAGAGTTTGCTTATTTATTTGAATGTGCTGTTCTCAGGAACTATAAGTTCGATTTAAATATTTATAGCCTCGTACTGAAGGGAGGCCCGTGCCCAGCAGTGGGACGTTAAAAAGGGCTGAATACATTTATAGCCTGTTTATTGAAGAATGTTACATACGTAGCATGATGTTAGGTACCCTAGTACCTAACATCATGCTACGGTCTTAAGGAGCGGAGCATAAACTATGCCCCGGTAGGCTAGCATGTACGGCTGCAGATGCTGAGGTCCTGTGTTCGAGTCCCGGGTAGGGTCAAGTCTGATTACTGAGATATTCTTCTTTGTTTTCTTTCCTCGGATTATTATATATTTTTCTATTTCTGTACATAGGTAAGACCAAAATAATTTATAACCATAAAAAGGTTGTTGTTCAAATTAAAAAGATAACTACATATGACACTGCGAAGGAGATTATATGAATGCCATTTTTTTACTCGAAAGTTCACTCTTATTTTAAATAAAATAAAACTATCTTGTCGGATATATTTTGATTTATTTATTTAGTATAATAATCGAATCATTAATGATAGTATGAAAATAATATTGTTTATTTTAGTGATATAATATATTACATTATAAACACAAATACATGATGATCTGTTTCAGCAGCCGACAAAATATGAAATTCAAAAGAACGATTACCCTAACGTGATGTATAAGATGACGTAATAAGATCTAGTTGAGGAATAAATTAAACTTTTTATCATATTCATATCTATTTCCGTTTGCCTAATTCTTAAAAAAATACGCTATTTCATTTAAATAATATTTTAATTATAAGTACATTAAAAAACTAAGAATATTTAATGAAATAATTGAAATACTGTCATATGTATGTATTTATCTTATACATAAATAGAATAATACTTTAAGCTCTTTTTGTTACTCTGCACACATTTATTTTATCACTTGTCTGTGTCACAAAACGTTTGACATGTGGAACAAGTGTCGATGATGTAACACTCGACAGAGACGTCTAATAAAATAAAATATTGACAATGATACCAGTAAGGTAGGAAATTAAGTTAGATTTATAAAATGTAAATCATTTAGAATGACAACAAACACTTGTAAAATATTAGTTTGATATTTTTACCAATGTACACATAAATTCAAGACAGATATTATTAGGGCGGTTAATCGGGCGTGGTCATCCACCAGTTACAGCCCTTAATCATACAACACTCCCCTACTATAATATCATATCATGGAAAGTGATCTTTACTTCTTTGCTTAGAAATTACCCTAACAATACATATTTTAAACAATTTTTTATATTGATCTTCGAGTATATAATTTAGACTAGAATTAGTATACTATTTTCTTACTCGAATTAAAAAGGTATACTTAGTAATTATACAATACTTTAATATTAAAACGCTACAGTTCTTCTTAAATTAAAAATAACAAAAACTCGACTTGTGAATTGGTTGCCTCCCTTGTAAAAGTTATACTAAACGTTGCTTAACTATGTTGTATAACGTAGCTATGTTGTAGAACATAGCTACAAAGGAAGTTCTTGAAATGCTTTTACGTCTTTATTTATACGCGAACAATGTTGATAACTTATTTTTGAATGTATATATATTAGGAAATTATAATTACTGTTACTTTCTTAGATTTACACGAATACTTGACATTTTAAATAAAACTATCTTTTCGGATTTTTTCGGGAGAGACAGTCTCTCCAGTGACCATGGATGCTGTAAAGCATTCGAAACGTCGGGACCCAAAAATCAAAATAAATTCTCGAAAAAATCCAAAAACATAGTTTTATTTAATATATAATTACTCTTATTTAATTTTATAAAAAATAGAGGGTTTGTAGTCTTTAATTGTGTTTGGAAAATTCTAGTGTTTTATTTATTTTAATATAATTATATTAATTTTAATGTTTGATGTAATTAAATAGAAATCAAAGTTTATGTTAAATGTTTTGACCCCCATGACATACTACATTATTTAAAAAAAAAGACATTGGACATTTGTTTTTCATAAAACCAGCTTTTATTTTTAAAACAGAAATAAAGTAGTCTCATTTCATCAATTCAATGCTTTGTTTAAAGAATTCATTTTATCCTTTCAGTTTTATTACTTTCAAACAAAGAAAATATCTTTCTAAGAGACTGAAGACTTCTGTTTCAAGAATAGAAAATGCAATATCTGTAGTGCAATTAAATGATTCCATGAAACTAAAAGAACTATTTATTTAAAATTCAATAAAATACATACTACTTTAACAATTACTTTAATTAAACAATGAGAGAAATAAACAATGAGTTAAAAAATTAAAACTTGTATAAATATGCTTATAAATATCGTGGAAAATTTAAAGATAATATTACAATAGAAGTTCAGGATTTACTCTGCGAGAAAATGGCTTTTATTCTGAGCCTCGGTCATCAATAGCGGGACTAAACATTATTCAGGATCGACGACACTTTCGCTTCCTACACCCATCCCGTCCCTTCCAATTTTAGTTGGACATCTTTTGCATGTATTATAGAATTTGTGAGTTCATTTATATGATTTATTTTGGATTCTCCGAAAGAATGTAGCAGAATAAGAAATAACTGAGCTAATTTTATAGAGGCTAAAGTCAATTTAACATTTGAATTTTGAATTTGACTAACAAATAAATAATATATATTCATTAAGTAAAAAAAATTGTGCAATATTTATTATTTATTTTTGAAATATATTAATTTTTCTATAAGCGTTCAAAGCATTACTCAAATATAATCTCGCTAAGTACCAATTTGCAATAGAATATCCGGCTCGAAGGTCCAAAAACATTGTTTTTCTTTCCCCCTCGCTGCCGGGGAACGGTCTTCTTGCCTTTTAAAATGATTGCCTTGTCCTATTTCTGATTCGGGCCGTGTCGCGGCCGTATTAACATTTCACGTTGTGTTGTACCGCCGCGCCGCACCGCTTTGCCGCCGCTGCGCAAACAACTTACAGTTTCAGAACTTTGAATGCTAAATGTTATAATCTTTATACCTTTTTAAAATAAGATATTTTTGTTTTTGACAGTTTATGAATGTCAGATTCAATTTAGTTAAAACGGTTTTGGACATTAAGCGCATTTGAGACTTTAATTGACCTATTTATTGTTTACATCTGAACCTTTCTGATAGGCTTTGAGGATTAAACGTAATTATGACGTTATTTTTAGTATTTTTCTTCGCAATTTCAGATTGTAATAATAATCCTATATACAATAAATAACCAAATTATAACTCAATAGCCTGTCTTTAATGCATAACAATTTCATATTTATGAGCGCTTGCTTTACGCCGTCATTATCGTCCGTCGCCGTAGCGTCCGTCTGACAGCTCTATTACACGGTGACCGCTCGCTTCATCTGTCACGTCGCAACTCGCACCGTATCGCTGTCACGTTCCAACGCGCTTCTTGCTGTGATTTGTTTGATTAATTTTTCAGGCTTGTTGTACTCATAAAGACTCTTAATATCTCTTTTTCATTATGTTTGCCTCCGTATAATGTTTGTGGATAATATTACCGTATGTGATGATTCTCTAGAAAATTGGTAGCCTATTTCGCTACTCCAAGTTTTGCTCTTATCGTTGACCAGAAAATCATAAAATATACAGTGTTTATAAAAGAAATATGAACTGACTCTTTAGAAGATTACAGTTTTTACTTATAACTTTAGCTGTAACATATTTTATATTTAAAAAAAAACCTAAACCCATTTTTTACTAAAAAAGTCTTAGTAAAAAATGGATCTTATAAACAGTATTCACTTGTTACATAAATTCGTTGCTGTTATGTATCAATGATATAGCCGACATTTTCCCCTGTTATTTACCCCGCCTGGCATAAAAACGGAGGTTAAGCCAGCATATTGTGGCGTCGATCCTCAATAAAGGTGAAACGGGCTGTAAGGGCGTCGGCTTAACTGTTTGTAGGTAAAAAACAATGGCTTCATAGCTTCGTGATTGTTCTATAAGCACGATTTAATTTATAATTATACGCATATCACTAATATTTAATGTTTTATTTATTTATTTATTTTATAAGCACACTTACAATATACATATTTAACATTAACACACAACATATTAAGAAAATTGAAAAGTAACACACACTGATATGTATATCAATAACTAGTGTACATAACATTCACCAACAAATACATGTAAACACTAAGGGGGGAAAAGGAAAAAAGAATAAACATATATATTTATTTCAATGTAAATGAAGACTCACCGATAGATGATCGGTGAGTTTTTTTTTAAATACATCATATGAGTTGTGAAATATGTCGATGCCAGGCAGAGCTCGAGATATTTCATTATATTTAGCACATATGCGAGCTATGGGAGATTGCTTACCGAGATGCGTTCTAGCGAAAGGTATATGGAATGTTTTTTGAGAAGAATTGCAATAGCGAGGATATCTACTTGGTGCTGATAGGGGAATTCGTTCAAGCAGCTTGCTGCACTTGACTTTGTAATTGATTACTTTGTGCAAGAAACACAGATCAAGTATCTCCCGCCTGCTTCGAAGAGACATCATTTTAAATTCAACCAATCTCTGATTATAGGGTTGTCTATGTGAGATACCAGTGGCATGGAATGCAAGGTACCTTGTAAAAGCGCGTTGTACGCTTTCGATACGTTGGGAATGTATGTGATAGGAAGGATTCCAGACGATACTGGCAAACTCAAGGCAACTTCTCACAAACACGTTGTACAAAATAATTTTGGTTCTACGGGTAAATCCTTTTGTGTTGCGTCTAATGAATCCGAGGAACTGCGTGGCTTTTTTAATAATATTATTTATATGTGATGTAAAATTTAACTTTCTGTCAATAGTAACTCCTAAGTCCTTGATTTCTGTTAACTCTTTTAATACTACATTATCAATCGAATAACTTGAGACAAGTGGTTTTTTCTTTCTAGTATATTTTATATGGAAACATTTGTTAACATTAAGAGTCATACTATTGACGCCACACCAATTTGTAATTCTATCGAGATCTTCTTGTATTAATTTAGTGTCTTCGTCTGACTTTGTAATTTTATAGATTTTTAGGTCATCGGCGAAGAGTGAGCACTTACAATGTTTTATCTCAGTGGTGATGTCATTTATAAAGGCTAAAAATAACAAAGGCCCCAGATGGGAACCCTGTGGTACCCCGGAGCGAGCGATGTATCTCTCAGATTCAAACCCATTTACTACTACAGTCTGAGGTCTCTGGCTTAGATAAGATTCAAACCATTTATTTAAAGAGGCACTGATCCCGTATTGTGAAAGCTTGTTTATCAGAATTTGATGGTCAACCTTATCAAATGCGCTACTAAAATCGGTATAAATTGCGTCTATCTGTTGTCCCTTGTCTACCTGTGCTATTAGATCTGAAGTGAAGTTTGACAAGTTAGTTGTAACTGATAAGCCGCTTCTAAAACCATGCTGGGCGCTTGTTAGGAAGTTGTTCAGTTGTTTGGTGAGGATGGGATGCATGAGACTTTCAAACAGTTTTGAAAAGCATGACAGAATTGATATTGGACGGTAATTTTTTACATCCATTCTATCACCCTTTTTGAAGATGGGTACGATTCGTGCTCTTTTCCACGCTTCGGGAAATACACCTTCATCGAGGGAACGATTGAAGATCAGCATGAGAGGGAATGCAAGACCGGAACCGCAACGTTTTACAAAAATGGGCGGAAGACAATCTGGACCTGTCCCCTTTTGAATATCCAATGTTTTAATTTTTTTTGCCACATCTGCCTCTACGAATTTAAACTTGGATAGCTGTGGAATGTTACTGTTTTGGTGTAATTTATTAATTGGATGTTGACTAGCCGTTTGGGTATAAATAGAGGAGAAATGATTCGCAAATAGATTAGCAATATCAGTACCGGTACTGGCAGTTCTGTTGTCCAGCTTCATTAATGCGGGAAAAGATGAGTCACATTTCTTTTTCTGTTTAAAATAATTCCAAAAATACATTGGGTTTTTGGAAATATTTGACTCAGCGTTGTGTTTATAATTATTGTGACAGATATCGTAGAGCTTATGGCAGCGGCTTCGGATTATTTGGAATTCTAAATAGTCCCGAGGGTTGTTGTACTTACGGAATTTTTTATGAAGATTGTCTTTTTCTTTCATTAACTTAATTAATTTTGAATTGAACCAAACAGGGTATTTTGCTGACTGTGACTTACGTTTAGGAACTAATTTATCAATTATCTTATAGAGATGATTATAAAAAACTTCAACCATAGCATCGACATTTTTACACTCTGAAAATATTTGTAACCAATCAATATTCTTAATTTCCTTTACAATAGGAATATAATCTGCTTTAAAGTAACTGTAATCGATGCGACCTTTGGATCTTAGGAAGCATGCGTGTAAAAAGTCAATTCTTATAAGCAAGTTTGGGTGGTAAGTATCCAATTTAGTGAGTAAATCAGGAGGTTTTACTACCGTAATATCAGTAAGGTTACTTAATACTAGGTCCAAGTGTCTATCATCACAGTTACCTATACAATTAAATTGATGTAGATTGTTTATAGACATAAAATCAATTAATGAGTGTCCGAGGGCATTATTGTAATTACACGGAGACATATATGTACAGTTATCATTAGCACACCATTTGATAAAACCCATATTGAAATCCCCCAATACTATTAAATCATCAACGTGGTTAGTCACGTTGTCCACGCTTTCCAGAAACTTATTGAGAAACTCATGCTTGACTGGAGGAGGTATATAAACTACACAAAGCCCGATCCTCTTTTTTATTTGTCTATTATTAGTTTCTAACACTAGCCATATGCACTCAGCATCGCTTGTCTCCCAACTAATAACCCGAAAGGAAGGTATCTCTCGTGAGATAGCAACCAGAACGCCCCCTCCATCGCGTTTAGACTGATTGGAACATGCACGATCTTTTCTATATACGATATAACGCGAATCAAATAGTTCGTTATCACGGACACTAGAATTCAGCCAAGTCTCGGTAAAAGCAATAATTTTATAATCCGTAGTCAAGATATTCTTAAGCACATCGTTGGTTTTAGTTCTCAATCCACGCACATTTTGATAATAGATATCGAAGCCTGTAAAGATGTAAGAGCCATAACGTTCACTTTATAATAATTACTATTTAGACAATAAGCTTAAGACTATCTTCACTCTTTATTAGTAGTGCCTGGCTAAATTCATCCTTCCGTGTATAAATTTTGCCATTTCTGATCCATGTGAAGCGATATTCCATTTGCTTGGCTTTTATGCGCACGGCGGCGTGCAAAGATTTGCTTCCTGGAGTTAAATGTTCCGAGACATATATAGGTGCACGTGGTCCACCGATTCCTAGGTGATGCGAACTTAATTTATCAGTAGGGTTTTTTTTGTTAAATTGCGCTACAGCAGCCAGAAAAGCATCGCGGTGTTTTGTTGTACGGAGTTTGACGATGACAGAGCGTGGCTTGTCAGAGTTTTTGTTTAACTTTGCTACACGAGTTACATGCTGAATGTCGTCCGAGGATAAAGGGTTTTGTACGACTTGTCCTAGCTGTACCATAGTATTAACCAAATTCTCTGTCCTATGCTCAGGTATACCGTTTACCTCGACATTACATTCTCTCAAATGGGATTCTACGATATTCAACCTAGTGGTGAGATCCTTAACCGATGCATTCAGTTGATCGTTTTCTTTTTTTAGATTGTTGATAATAGTTGATTTTTCTGCCATTGCCGCTTTCATTTCTTCAAACTGTGCGTTTATAAAAGTCATACAATCGTGGAATCCCGTTATTTGTTCATTAATTGTGTTTAGTTGACTTGTGACTAGTTCTCTAATCGTGATTGACAGTTCTTGTTTTATTATGCCGCGTAGGTTGCTTTCTGTCAAGTTGGATGTTCTGTCGGCATCGGTGCTGGCAGACATTGTAGGCGTTGGTGGCTTGCTAAGTTTTTTTCGAATGGTTATATTTGAATCTGTAGGTTGCTCTTCGTTAACAGATTCATTGCTGCATGTCAAATTTGTGATGGCTGCCCTGACAGGTGTGTTGGTATTTCCTGTCTTAGGCCGTTTACTACAACATTCCGGACATTTCCAACTGGATTTTAACTTCTGGTCCATTTTTTCGAATTGTTTTTGGGATATATTTGCACATTCACAGTCGTACTTCGATCCGCAAGTCGAGCAACTTAGATATTCCTTCTTTGGCAAATTATTTTTGCATCCAGCGCATACTTTTGAATTTAAAGAGCTCGCCATTGTCTATTTTATTAGTAAAGTGTATTTTAATATGTTTTAGAAATGAAAAAAGTCAATTCGATGTTGGGGTTTGAACTCGCGACTAGAGCACCGCAATCCACTATTAGTCTAATTGCGCCACAATAGCAGTTAGTTGTTTAGGTGAAAATCTCTTGTAGTTTGGAGGACAATGTTAAAGTTATTTAGGACTTGAGGGTATATCGATGTTTGCAACAAAAATGTGAAAGATCACTGATACACACTATAATTGTTAAATATTAGTGAGCACTATTATAACTTTTGGAGTTGTTTAACAATTTAGTAACACTTTAGCACTTTTTCCATTATACACATTCTTTTTTAATATTATATAAGATTCAAATAGAGTGCTAATTTTGAGTTCAGATGTTAAGGGCGTAAACGCGTATTAACTCCGTTGCTAATTAATTGTATGTGGTGAAAACACTAACACAGCAAATTTATACTATGATTTACGTTTTTGATAGGCATATAATCACTTTAATCTATTTTATTTTATTTAAAATAAAATTTAAATAGGGAACAACGATTTGACATGTTTACATGACGGGTGGCGCCACCGGAATGTTTTAAATAATCTCTTAATTCCTCTCTAGTCGAACTTTATTATATTTAAAGTCCTTTATTAATAGTTATTTTCAAGCCTTTTAAAAACATGTCGGCTATTATTTGTACAAAATGAAAAGTACTTGTAAAATTAAAATGTACAAGTATTGTTGACTATTGCTTTTATTAATATTAATGTTCATTACTATTTATTATCCTTGGTGTTAAAATTCTATCACACGGCTGTATCATTTGATTCATCGCAAATAGTTTATCGTGTCTTCTCTTTACAAAGGTTTTTCAGGATCGTTCGTGCTCTTTTGTAATTGAAAATGGTCCCTAGTTTACGACCAATTTGTTGGTGACGAGTGAAAAGGGAACCCCATCGTAGTGTTTTAGAAAAGGCTATCTCACACGAATACTTCACGTTTGTTATTTTAAACATTGGTGCTATAACTTAACAACGCAAACCGCATGGTAAATATTAATATTAAGTCACATTAGAATATGCAAATTGTACGTTCAACCTGAGGTTGAAGTAGAATAAAAATATAATACGAATTACACTTTCATAATAATCATCATTACAATTGTTGAAAATGATAATTTATACAGACCGAATTCAGAATGGTTCTCTTTAATGTATGCAAGATTCTTTGGCAAATGCGTAATATTTTTGCAATAAATTTGATAAGAAGGCAGAGAATTTGTAAAATTGAATTTTAAATAGCTTCCGCTACATTTTAAACAGGTGTATTCAGAATTTGATGTCGTGTCATAAATTTTATGTTCGTACTGTACCATATTACAGCCCGGGCAAAAGTTATCGGCATTTTCATCGGGCGAGCATTCTCATTATTAGAGACAGGCTATCTACCATCTCCATTGTACGCCGCGACCGCAACTCTATCGAGATCTAGATAAGCTAAACAATCGTGAGACATACGACCCTTTGATAAGGCGGAGTTATGTCGTCTAATTAATGAAGTAACTCATCGGAAAGCAAAGTAATTACTTTCTGAATATACGAGTATGTGCTATCTTAGAGTTTTTGAGGGTTTGTAGAGATTATTAATTTATGGAGGCAACTTTGGACGGATGCTTTGTTTTGCATTAAGACTTTAGTTTTATAATTGCGCATTGGAAAATTATATGTAGATAGACAAGGTAGATAGAGGTAGACTCTTTTTCGGCACAATCAATACATATGACGTTTTATATCAAAACGCGTAGAACAAAGAGTTAAAATTACCATCATCAAATAATACAAAAATATTTTATATTTTTGAAATATTTTTTAATGTACATTTTAAACAAAGATTATCATAGATATTCATTTAGATCTAAATACAATGATCATATCAAAAGTGAAATACTACCGCTTTCAACTTTTTCATACCGTAAACAAATGAACGCAATACAGCACAAACAAATCTATTGAATTATTTGCTCTGTTGTGGTTACTTTCTGGAAACATTGCCAGATAGAAAATACTTTTTATATTCATAAATACCCAATTTCTGTCTTAGATTTGTATTTAGATTTACCCCACTATGATTTATTATCTAAATAATAAAATTATATAGAACCATATCTATATATAAATAGGCAAAGACAAAACAGTTCAATACCTACCTTTTTTCTTCTCTGTTTGTCATCTAATTTTCTTTTTGTTTAGTAGCTATTGTATGTTATATTTAAAAAAAAAACTCTAGTTATAATAAAATATATATGTACAAAATTTTGATAGATATATAAAATATAAATAAAACAGATAATGATGCATATAGAAGCTTATAAACATGCATTTCCACCTAGTCAATTTACCGGATAACCAACGCGCACTATTCCACGTAATCTCTCGGAAGTCGTTGCTCTAGCGACTGACCTTGTGTCTATGTTGTGGACTATTTTTATCTGATAAAAACATTGTTTGCTATATTTATGTCAAGTACATACATGTTTACATAAAAATATTCATAGGTTGGTAATTGAAAATCTTCTTTCTTTCGTAAGAAAATTATAATGCTCAAGGAACCTGTGCAATTTATTCTAATCTAACTAAATATTTTGTGGGTAAGTGGTACATAATAATGATTATAGCTACATAATGCTTGATTTAAAAAAAAAAACAATGAAATAAGCTATGTTGAATAGTTAATAGTTGAAGTTTGTAATCATTATTCATGTTCTATTATTTTGGTTTTGATTTCTACATTAAAATGTTATATTTGTCAAACTTGAAAAGGTTAGTTCGTTCTGACTCAGTAAAGTTTTATTTTTACTTTAAACAATACTATGAAAAGTGGCCTCTGTGTTTATTCGGCTCAGTTAAAGCTTATACATTAAATATGCGTACATTCAAACTCAGCGTATGTTCTCATCCATCCAATTATGTGGTTGCCGCTTCCACTTTAGTTAATTTAGAGCAAATATCGCGACATGAATACTTTATAACTTATAATATTACGATCGTTATTTTCGTTATTATACACGCATAGGTGTATATATTACCATAAAATTCATTAAAAAGTCACTATTACATTTTTCAAAAATTTTACAACTTACATCCTTGTTGTTAACTTGTTTAAATCTAGCAAGACAGGCTTTATTAGTTTATTGATGTATAATTGCTTAGGTTCTAAGAGTCAGCTCGTGATGTTAGATACCGCTTAAGCTTCAAAAAATGGCTATAAAAGAGATTTATGCAAAGAGGATTTTTTAAATGCTTACTTACATACATTAGCTCTTTCAAATAAACAAAAAAATGTTTTAGTTCTATAATATTAGCGTAGTTCATAAAATAAATTTTACATATGTTTTCTTTTTAAGTGGTATTCGTTATGAATGAAAATTTTTTTTAATTTTATTTTTAAAAACACTACGCATTATTAATCACTATCCACGTGTAAAGTGCTACATAAAGTTTCAATTTCTCCACTGTACGAATTTCACGTTTCATTTTTAAAACTTTTTGGCTTTCGAGCTACGGAAATTTTAAAATATATTTTTGCACCGCTGTGAAAATATAGGCTATAAAATATTATAGTCACCTGTAAAGCAATTTCTATATGTACACATACGTAGGTAAAAAGGAATTTCTCTATCAAACTAGTCTATTGTAGGCAATGCATGTTCTGATCGCAACGTAACAAAGTTACTGAGTAAGTTCGGCTGGAACAGTTTGTAACATTGTTACGGATCCGATGCGGCTCAACTTTGAACTGTGCACTCTGTGTTGCCATCTCGTCAATCGTGCAAATCGCTTATCTTGAATCCGATCAACGATACAAAGATATTCAGCTGTTGTTATTGGTATATATACATGTTATATGTATACCTTATTTATATATTCATAGAAACGTAATAGTAATATTAATCGTATTAACTTATTTTAAATAAAGTTTTGCTTATGAGTCTCGTCATTTAAAAAAATATCTGTTTAACTTTACATCCGAAAATAGGCCATGTAACTATTCTATGACGAACATCATTAGTATGGTTTTTTATGGTACAGAATGGGACTATTATAATTATTATTCAATGTACTATTTTTGTCGGTAAAATCGCCCCGCTTTATAACTGAGTGAGCATAACTATACATTTAAAACATAAAGCTTGTCGATTTTCTATCTGGAACGAGCAGCAGGTCTTTCTCACGGACCTGTTAATCAAGTTAACCTCACTCGTTAGACCGTTGAGTACTAAGCGGCCGTAATTTCCCCCGCGCACCGTACATCTGATAACAGTTTCACCGACATTATTTTTCTCTTCGGGCGATTTAGATTGACTTTCAATTTGTTTTATTTATAAGGCATTAAACAAATATTTCTAGTGTTTATACTCTAGTGATTAAATATTGCCATTTAAAAATATCTCCGCGCATTTTATATTTAAAATATTAATTCGGAAGTACATATTATTTAAAGTTAAGTGTGCTTCAATTATCCTTTCTTCTTAAGACTTTTGAGCAAGCTGCTCTTAAGAGGTTCTTTTGTTTAGAAACTCATACTTATAAAGACTTTTTTGTCTTTTTAGCAACGAAATATGCTATGAAACATTATTATTTTTGAGGATACCTTACTCTTTACAAGGTGCATCTTTAGGTACCTAGCAGTAGCCTATGTGTCCCTGAATAAAATTAAACTTTATTCAAATAAACTTATTAAAAGTATTTTTTAATCGTCAATTTAATTTATAGAGCGTCATTGTAGCCTGTTCTTGAGGAAGCTAACATCGGCTCGAAAAGCAGTTCCGGCGTGATTGAGTAACAATCATCCATCCATTCGAACTTTCGCATTTACTATACTTTTATTTAGTACCAGCGTTTGCCGGAAGGCCCAATGAGACGTGTGACCGTAAAAAATAACATATACCTAAGAGTTTATATGAATCCTCTACCCGCTAGTGGTGTAGTAGCGTAATTACAATTAAAT